AGCGTCGGTTGGCCACAAAGGCTGTAATAAGAAGTTGCAAGGGTTGTGGATCATAGGCCGTAGTTGGTTACGTAGGTGAGAGTGGTGAGCTATGATGACATTTGTAGACCGAAGAGGCAGGAGTCAGGTGTTGCACGAGCTGTGAATCACGTAGTGTTGAACTGCAATGACGTCTGTAGACCGTAAGAAGCTATGGATCACAGGCCGTAGTTGGTCACGTAGGTCAGAGTAGTGAGCTGTGATAACGTCTCTAGACCGCAAAAGTCAGAGTCAGCGTCAGGAATTGCACAAGCTGCAAGCAACGTAGTCCGTAGTTGGTCACATAGACCATAGTTGTGAGTTATGATGACGTTCGTATGCCACAGAAGCCGGAGTCAGGAGCTGCACGAGCTACAAGTCATGTAGGTCATAGTGGTGAGCTATGATGATGTTTGTATGCTACATAGGCCGGAGGCGGGAGTTGCATGAGTTGCAAAACATGTTGGTCGTAGCAGTGAGTTGTGTTGACGTCCGTAGGCTGTAGAGACATGATTTGGGAGCTACATGAGTTGTGAGCTGCGTAGGTTGTAGTTGATCACAAATCGTAGTGTCGAGTAGTGATAATGTTCGTAGGAGAAGAGGTTGAAGGTAAGAGTTGTATGAACTGTGGGTCGCTTTGGTCGTAGTTGGTCACATAGGTCGTAATTGTAAGTTGTGATGACGATCGTAAGCCACAGAGGTCAAAGTCTAAAGCTGCATGAGCTACAAGTTATGTAGACAGTAGTTGGTCAAATAGATCATAACATGGAGCTGCAAGGAGAGCATTAGGAGTCTGAAGAAAGTTATCGTTTTCGAGGTGCATTGTTATACCGTCATCGAAAAGCATCGTTGCACCGTATGTGGGGTGTGTTGTTACACCGTCTTTGAGAGACGTCATTGCATCACGTATGAGTTGCGTCATTACATTATCAGAATGGTGTGCTGTTGCATCGTATTGAAACGGTTTTCGAGGTGCATTGTTATACCGTCATCGAAAAGAATCGTTGCACCGTATGTGGGGTGTGTTGTTGCACCGTCTTTGAAAGACGTCATTGCATCACGTATGAGTTGCGTTATTACATTATCAGAATGGTGTATTGTTGCATCGTATTGAAACACATTTTTTCAGTCTTCGAGAGGTATGGTTGCACTGTACCTGAGATGCGTTGTTAAACCATCATCGGATTGCATCGTTGCACCATATTCGATTAGTGTTATTACACCGTTGAGAGATGACAATGCACCTTATGTGAGGTGCATTGTTACACAGTCATTGGTGTGTCGTTGCACCGTATTTGAGATTCATTGTTACACGGTCTTAGAGAGTCGTTGCACCGTATGTGCGGAACATTGATATACCGTCTTCGGGAGGGCTTGCAAAGTATGTGAAGTGCATTGTTATACCATCATCGAAGTGTGTCATTTCACCATATTTGATGTGTTTGTAGCTTGCCCGGGAACAAATGATCCATACTTCTAGTTGCTCATACTTCCTTGCTTCACCGTTCGACCACTATTTTCAGTCTGGAAAGCCATCAAACAAGTTGAATTTGTTGTTCAACAGTAGATTTCACAATCCATCTCCTTCCATACACCGCTGACCGCCCCTAAACACCTCATTCTCTTTCACAACAACCTCCCCGCAAAACTTGCCTGCTAGACAACTATTAAGAGCCCTACAAAAATGTCAAATAATAAAAAAAAATTTAATACTTAAGTGATATATTAGAATAGTATTTGAAGTTTAACAATTAAATTTAGCGAATATCATTTGGTTATTGAACCAATACAACTAATAAAAGTTAACTAAGCGTAACTAAATAATCTGACGAGGGTGCAGGAGTTTTCCGCATGAATGCCGAAAACTAGCAAGCCTGCTGAAACTATTGGCATAGTGGGTCGGTCGAGAGACTAAATCAGGACTCCAAAGAGAATCGAGCAGCATTAAGGCGGGCGACACTCATGACTTCCTTTCGTGTCTCCCGCTCGATTCGAGCAACATTTGGAGAGGGCGACATTGTCGCCTACTCTATTCTCCTCCTTCCTTGCTTCCCTCCAAGCTAGGTCTATTTAAGTGTTCATTGTCTGAGTTATTAGCAGTTTTTGTTATGTGTTGATTTTGAATTCCGTCGTAGAGTTGTTCTACCTGTTTTAAGTTTAGGGCGACATTGTCGCCTACTCTATTCTCCTCCTTCCTTGCTTCCCTCCAAGCTAGGTCTATTTAAGTGTTCATTGTCTGAGTTATTAGAAGTTTTTGCTGTGTTGATTTTGAATTCCTTTGTAGAGTTGTTCTACCTGTTTTAAAGTTGTATCCGAGGAGGTGGTGGTGCTCCGACTGTATCCTCCCTGAGGTGGTATTGTATCTTTCCCTTTCCCCTTCTTCAATCCTTCTTCACCCCTCTCCTCAGCTGTCGAATCCGAGGAGGTGGTGGTGCTCCGACTGTATCCTCCTCTGAGGTGGTGTTGTATTTTTCCCTTTCCCCTTCCTCAATCCTTCTTCACCCCTCCTCAGCTGTCGGCCACCCCCTCCTTCATTCCTGCACCTAGCCGACCCATGCCCACAGTTTTACCTTGTTGTCCAGCCCTCTTCCATCCTTCTCAGCACTCAATCGACTGCTCCTCACCCCACTTCCATTGTCCTTGTTGTCCAACACCTTCCAACCACCAATCTGCCTGCTACCGGTCACCTAAAACCCTCCATACTTGTTGTCCTCGCAATTATGCACCTTCCCCTTGTTGTCATCAACACTCCCTTCCTGCTACCACCCTTGCCAACCATCTCGAACCACCTAGCCGACCTCCACCGCACTTGGAATACACCTAAGAGGTGTTTGCTTGTCATTTAGGTTTTGTGTTGTTATTTTCTATTTTGTTTTGTTTCAACCCTATCTCTACATTAATAAAAAATTGTTTCGTGTTTCCGTTGAATTCCACCTAGTTCCAGTAACATTTGGTATCAGAGCTAGCCCAACTCAAATCTCATCCTAGAGTTTCCTAGCATCTGTCATAACCCAAAATTTTCATTTTCTATTTCTTAATCCCTAACCATGCAGCCAAAGAGATATATGCCCGAGCCTTCTCAAGAAGAGATAAGACGCGAGCTCTGTCGCCTTCAACAAAGACTTGCAAAGATTAAAAAATTAACACTGAAATAAGTTAGCCTCGACCGAGATCTGGAGAGTCGAAGAGGAGAAAGAAATGAGGATTTGAATCCCTTCCATAGGAATTATTTCAGCGATGAATAAGATAGGTCACAACATTTCAAAATCCAGTGCCAAAGAAAGCCTAGATAGGATATCTAAATCCCCCTCAGAGGGAGACTCACAGAAAGGAGATATCATTTGGAGGATAGTGAGACTTCGACATCAAGATAGATCAGCCAGAGTTCCAATGAGGAATGGATCATAAGGAATTCATTGATTGGTTACAGGTTGTTGAGCAGAACTTTTGAGTATAAAAATGTGTCAGAGGATAGAAGGGTCAAATTAGCGACCATTAAGCTGAAGAAGAATGTTTTTTGTGGTGAGAGAACTTATAGAGGCAGAGGAAAAGAGAGGACAACTATAAGATTATTAGGTGGGAGAACATAAAAAAAGCAATGCAGAGGAAATACCTCCCACCCCATTACCGCTAGAACATATTTTTGAGAGTCCACCTGCGGCAGAGACATCTGTCAGTAGAAGAGTTCACAAAGCGATTTGATTATTTGCAGATGAAGTGTGATTTGACAGAACCATAAGAAAATCCTTTAACCAGATACCTTGGGGGCATGAAGTCTAGTATTAGTAATGTGGTGTACCTAGCCATGCTGGACACTGAGGGATGTCAAGACACTAGCCTTGAAAATGGAAAGATAGCAAAAGCAGAGCCGACAACAGTCATCCTTCAGGCAGTCAATTACCTTCAGTTATTACGACTGACTGAGGTACCACAGGAGACAAAGGCAAGGTCGGACAAGGGAGTAACACTCTCGATCGAAGCAGGAAGAAGTAGGAGAAAGGTAGCTCCTCCAGGACCATAGCGGCTAGGAAATGTTATTGATGCCACAACTACGACCACATAGCCTCCAACTGTCCCACTAGCAAGGTAGTCACACTCACTGGATCAAGGAGCTGTGGAAGAGATTAGCGACAAGAAGAAAGCTGAGGAACAGGGTGGGGGTGTATTAGCTTCCACCTGATGAGAGAGAATCACTTGTAATTTGACAGATTCTAAAGACTGAGGATACGAGAGATCCGCAGTGGCTTCACATAACATTTTCTACACTTGCTGCACAGTGAACAAAAATGTATGTAGTCTTATTATCGACGACGATAACAGCAAGACCGTTGCATCGACTCAAATAGTATATAAATTGGAACTTATGACGCAGAGACATTCCCATCCATACTCGCTAACGTGGTTGAAGAAAGAGAATCGAGTCACATCGACCGGAGATGTCTGGTAGAGTTTTCGATCGGAGGCCAACTGCAAGACCAGGTGTGGATGTTTGTCACATTCTATTGGAACGACGATGGCAATTTAACCAGAGGACTCAACAAGATGGATTCAGATATATACTCATTTACCAAAGAGGGGAACACATCATTCTAATTTCTTCGGCAGAGCCCGAGATCATGAAAACTTTTACCAGCAGAGCGGCGTCAGTGAGACCAGTTCTAGTGACTACAAAGAATGAGAGGACTGAAACACCGGCTCTAGACATAGGCCAGTTAAGCTAGAAAGGATGTTGGGGCCTCACAATTGACATCGTACCACCAGCTCCACCACCTGACGGAAAGACTCAAGCTACTCATGAAACATCAAACCAACCCGACCGTGGGTTACCTTGGGAGGATCCAACAGTACAAGCATGAGCCACAGTCTCAGAAGAGTGGATTGATGGGGACATGAGCGCACAAGTGGTGTCGACTTCTTCGATGCTTTGGCCGACAGTGGGACCCAGGTGCAACCAAGATTAGAGAAGTGGAACTAGAAGTTCAGACAACTGAGGTCGAAGCTCTCTCAACACCGGGAGACTAACGCGCGTGCATAATTTTCTTGCATGAATGCGAGAATGTAGCCAATCTGTTGCCAGCTGACATTAGTGGGCCGGTCCAGGGGACCCGATCCAGAACTCCAAAGAGAATCGAATGGCATTAAGGCGAACAGAACTCGCGACATCCTTTTGTGTTTCCCTCCCGATTCGAGCAACATTTGGAGAGGGTGGCATTGCCACTTGTTTTCTTCTTCTCCTTCCTTTCTCGTCGGCTTTTTTTCCTTGTTTCCCTCATAGCTAGGTCTATTTATATGTTTGTATTCTGAGTTATTAGCAGTTTTTGCTAAGCGTTGATTTCAGATTCCTTTGTGGAGTTGTTCTCCTTGTTCTTGGATTGTATCTGAGGTAGTGGTGCTCCACTGTATCTGATATGGTAGTGGTGCTCCGAGTGTATCCTCCTCAGAGGTGTTGTTTTATCCTTCCCTTTCCCTTCCTAATCCTTCTCCGCCCCTCTCCTCAACCACCGGCCTCCCCCTCCTTCATTCCTGCACCAAGCTGGCTCATGCCCGCAACTTTACCTTGTTGTCCAGCACTCCCAATCAACTGCTCCTCACCCCACTTCTGCTGCCCTTACTGTCCAAAACCTTCTAGCCACCAATTCGTCTGTCGTTGGTCACCTACGACCCTCCATACTCGCATCCTCAAAATTATGCACCTTCCCCTTGCCGCCATCAACACTCCCTTGCTACGACCACCCTTGCCAACCATATCGAACCACCTAGCCGACCTCCACCGCCCTTGGAATACACCTTAGATGTGTTTGATTGTGTCGTTTATATTTTCTATTGTGTTGTAACCCTCTCTCTACATTAATAAAAGTTTTCTTTCATGTTTCCGCTGAATTCCATCTAGTTTCGGTATCATAATTTAAATAAAAAAAAATTAATGCTTAATTATGTAAAGTCATAAGATTAACAACTTAATAAAAGTAAAATGATTAACCTTAAAATTGAAGAGTTATAATCTTAATTAAAATATAATAAGAAAATAAATAATAAATAACAATTAAGTAAAGCATAATCAAGCAATATGATAAAAATTTATGATTATGAATATTTTCTATATTATACGTGTTCAATTGAAGGAATGACGAACTAAAAAGTGAAAAAATGTGAAAAATATTGAGATGAGTACTCCGATATTAATATTTGAAGTCTTAAAATGTGACAAACTTTACACATTGTTTACAAAAAAATTCAATGACATGAATTACATAAAGAGTGGTTCTAGTACATATTGAATATGATTGAGCACTCATTCTTAGGGTACTAATTAGGAACGTTAAAGTACTCGAGCACCTATAATGAAAAATATTATTGATATTGCATTACATTAGCTGATACAATTTAGAAAGTGCTTCTGTGAGGGATGTAAAAGATATAGACATAGACAAGTTATTGTACTATACAACTGAATATTTTTAACTTTACTGAATGGCTAATTGAATAATAAGATGTCAATTGATTTTACACCGATTAAACATATATTTACTTAGTCTAATGATGTATATAAATTTATAAAATATAATAATATGACAATGGCATATCAATTCTAACATCCAGAGCACATTTCAATCTCCTAAGACTGTCCCTCTATAATCACCAGCAATGGGAAAAGGACTCTAGCCAAGTCCTATTGGAGGACAGCATTACAGCTGCATCTCATCAATTGTGGAGGCAACATGGGAGAATTAAATTGAAAACAAGAATGAGAGAACCGGTCACCAGAATACTTTCTTCTTCTATCTTTGCACACAAGAGGATCATTGCAACAAGAGGATCGAGATAAAGTTCTTAGGGACATCAATGCAACAATTGCACCTCCCACAATCACCAGAATACTTTCTTCTTCTATCTTTGCAAACAATCATAAGAGGATCATACATAAGGAACACTGGAGGACAGTGATGAAGCAACAGCTTATCAATCGTGTAGGCTAAAGGGAAAAACATGATGAGATGACAGTAGTTGCAGCACATAGATAGAGCAGAGTTTTCAAGCACCTGAGAATTCACAATTTTAACAGTACATATCGATGTCCTACCAAATGTGTGGTGCATCCTGGCACGTGACCCTTTGACCGGGTTATCCATCTCATGAAATACCTATAAATTCTACTAGTGCGGTGCATAGAAATAGACTAATTGCGAGGCTCTCATAATTAAAAAAGAGAATAAAATTTGTAATACACTAAGAAAATCTTGAGTACCATCAAGCATCGTGATGAAAATATTTTTCCAATCAAGAAATCAAAGAAAGGGGTGATTGATACAACGTCCTTAATAGATGCAAATAAACAAGCTGCAAAATTACATAAAACAACTTCATTATTAACTAATAATATTATCTTACATTACCTCTCAATGCCAAAATACATACGCATTTTTTAATTAAATTGTAATTTGTTCACATTAAAACTTCAAATACTCAATATCTATGGAATGAAATGGAAAATCATTCTTCTCCCAACATAACTTCTTTGAATATAATGTAAGAATAACATATAGGAATTTATAATGTTACTTCCTCACATAATAATTTTATGCTTTCGTCGGTTTCATTTATGATTTCCTCTACAGAAATTAATGATGAAAAATATGTGCAATCAATAATTGGAAATTGTACTCATGTAGGAGGTGAGAGATGGTGAGAGGGTAAAGTAGGACTTTTATGCTCAAAGCTCATTAGATATGAACAATTTTATTCTTCTAAACCACAAGTACAAAGAACTAAATCAACAAAGAAATCACCAAGACAGATTAAAATGAAGTACAAGAATTTAAGAATGCATATATTTATCTGCAACAATGTCTCTCATTAATGCAACTGCATGCCAAAATGAAAACATAAAAGAAGATATTTTACAAGCCTGCATATAGAGTGAAATTTATGCAAACATGAAGCATACCAGCTGGATCACTACTGCAAGAACCCTTGCAAACCGTTCAACCTGCACAAGGAACATTCCAGTCTTTTCTGTTGCATTTTCAATAAGCCTTTCATCCAGTCCAATATTCTTGAACCGTGAATGCCATCTTGAAAAGCCTCTGAGTTCTCCAACTCTAAATCCCATAGTCTCCACAGCAGGCTATAAGGAAAATAAGCTCAGAGTGCAAGCATTATTAAGAAAACACTAATAAAAGCAGAAAAATCACAATAGCTGTAATGGGAAGGAGATGGAAGCAAAATATCACAAAATTTAAAAAATCTTAGTTGTGCCTAGCTGTGCAAACTGCATAGCTGGTTCAATAGCCAAGACAATCAAAAATCAAAATGAAATGCATTTAAAAATTTGAATACCCTAAAACAATCACATAAAAACACAAACGAAAAAAAAAAATCAAAAGATAGCTGCATAAAAACTTTTGAAATGGGTATCTGCCCTCCCTCCCATGTAATCTGAGCATTGAGGTTGGTAATCAGTTAGACAAGGCAAGCATGGTCGCTAATAGCTGAAGAAATAATTTCTTAGATCCAAATCAAAGATCAATGAAACACAAAGGGCAGTCATCTTTCGAACCAAATCGAATCAACGTTCAACTAAAAGGAGAACTTAGTACAAAGGCTGCTCATCCGATTAGTTTTGATTTTGTAGTTTTTTTCTTATTCTCCACATAAGTAGTTTATTCCTCTACAATTCATGTATTGCGTTTTAAAGAGGAGACAGAAGCAAACGGCTATAGTGGAAGAAAGCGGGTAAAACAATATCACAATTTGGAAGTAATGGCAGGATTGTGTGCAAAATGTGTGACTGCATAATGTGATACGGGGCTGTCAAAGTTCACACCCGTCGACCGGGCGTGACATTGTTCCGGTCCAGCCGTCCGTGACAGAACCGATCCACGGCATTAAAATGCCGGTCCATTTAATCACTCACCCTACTCTCCGCTCAACCCTCCCCCGTGCCCTATTCTTTAGCCTCCGCTCCTAGCCGTTGCAAAGCCTTCTATTTTTCACCTCTTTCCTCTCAAGATCTTCCCCTTCCTATCTTCCCTTCCTCTATTTACGCGTGTTAATGTCTTAGGTCTAACAAGTTTGTTTCCTTGTGATGTCTGATTCCAGGTCCGCCCTAAGGTGTTCCCTCTTACGAGGCCTATATCAAAAATGTCTTAGGTCTAACAAGTTTGTTTCCTTGTGATTTCTGATTCCAGGTCCGCCCTAAGGCGTTCCCTCTTACGAGGCCTATATCAAATGGCGGGTTGGCGGGTTGGCGGGTGGTGCTTCGATTGTACCCCAACTGCAGTGGTGACTACCTCCACACTCTTCCCAACGATCAGCAACCTTCCAGCTTCAGATCTCCTCCCACCAGTGCTAGTCTCGCCGGTTTCCCACAGCAGCCATCATGCTGCTCCCATCAGCCCCTGTCGAGCCTTCCCGCTCTCATAAGTGGACCGCCATCCCTTCTAAGTCCTCCCTACAACCACCACACCACCGGACCACACCTCCACACCCGCAGTTTTCCCCCATTCGACCTTCTCCAGTGAGGCGTTCCACTCTCCAGGTCCTCCCAGCCACTCGTCTACCACTACCCACCCACTCCTAGTAGTCGCCGGGTCCCCTAGCCCCTTACAGCGGTCTTTATTATCTCTCACCGTCACACCGGATTTGTCACCATTCAGGATTGTTTCTGTCTTATACTTTAGCTTATTCTGCATTTGTAATTCCGTTTACCCCTTATGTGTTATTTCTTTTATCATTTGTGTTATATCCTTTACTATTTATGCATTATTGATGTAAGGAGTCGTCAGTGCGCTTGTTTTTTACATTCAACAATAAAATTTGTCGCGTCTAAGTCGTGGATGGGGTTGACTCCGATATCATTTGGTATCAAAATTAGCTCAACCTTAAACCTACCCTTGGGTCCATAGCATCCACACCCAAAATTTTTTCTTCCCTCTTTTCTTTTCCTCTTCCCTCATCTTTCCTTCTCTTCTCGTCTTCACCGCATTCCTTCTCTCATCTTTTTTCCCAAAACACTTCAGATCATACCACCATGTCGAAGCATGACGGATCCGACCATGAAAGAAATATAACAAGAGATTCGTCGCTTATAACAACGATTGGTCGAGATGGACGACGAGACTCAAGGCAACGTTACTTTCGACCGTGATATCGAGAGTAACAGAGGAGACCGCAACAACGACCTAAATTCGTTTCACCGCGAAGACGAAAATCGTCCACGTCGCTTTGACATTCACTATCACAGAATGTCACGCCAGGAGCCCACGTTCGACACCCCTCAGGATTTCGGCATCAAAACGCACCTAACAGAATTCGAAAAAAGCATGAACCCCTACGACTTCATCAATCGGTTGCAAGCGATCAAACTTATCTCTGATTACAAAGAGGTCCCCAAGGACAAACAGGTAAGCTGCCAATTATCAACCTAAAAAAAAAAAAAAATACATGTCATTATGGGGGGACAGCTTACAACGACAACAACATCGCTATGGGGACGACAAGATCACTAAGTGGGCCAAAATAAGGAAGGCGATGAAAAAAACCCCCCCCCCCCCCCCCGGTATCGCCAGGCCATGTTCCTTCGGCTACACAACCTACAACTGTGTGACCTGTCAGTCGAGAAATTCACAACCCAATTTGATTATCTACAGATGAAGTGCGACCTGATCGAATAATAAGAGCATGCACTAGCCCGCTATCTCAGGGGTTTAAAACCAACCGTTAACAACATTGTACAAGTGCGTCATGCTGGACGATAAATGATGTCCATACTCTTGCATTAAAAGTAGAACAACAACAAAAGCAAGTCTCAAAACTCCTTACAGCAGTCGACATTCAAACAATCACCTCAAACAACTTCTAACCGCAGCAGATATCAGCTAGGATGCTATAGAATGCGCTTACCAAATTCAACAATTCCACAAGGAAGTCAAGGAAATGATTTCTAAGCAAAACCACAAATATCAATCACAGACTAACAAATCAGCGAAAAAAACCTTTAAAGAAGAAGACCTCGTGTGGATCCACTTTAAAAAAGAGCGATTTCTCGTAAGAGCAGGCGATAAACAAAAACCACGAGCCGATGGACCTTTCGACATACTTAAGAAGTTCATTGACATTGCCTACAAAATCGACCTATTAGGCGACTCTAAAACTTCAGCTACAATCAATTTCGCGAATCTCACCCCATACTACGAGGAACCACAAGCTTTGACAGATGATTTCGAAGTCTCCCAACCTCGAGGGATTGATGCGAGGTTGTCCAAGTTCACATCGTCGACTGGGTATGACATTGTTCTGATCCAGCATTCTATGTCATACCAGACCGGTCCATGACATTAAAATGCCGATACATTTAATCGTTCGCCCCACTCTCCATCTTGCATCGTGCGCTTTGCTCGCCTCCTTCCCCGTGCTCTATTCTTCTGGTCCGCTCCTAGACGTTGCAAGCCTTCTATTTTTCACAGCTTTCCTTCTCAAGATCTTGCCCTTGCCATCTTCCCTTTCTCTATTTTTGCTTGCTATTTTCTTAAGTCTAACCATTTTGTTTCTTTGTGATTTCTGATTCCATATCCTGCAGAGATGACTACCTCCCCAGTCTTCCCAGCTATCAGCAACCCTCCAGTTTCAATCCTCTCTACAGTTTATATTAATTTTGATTTATAGAGAGAGTTTATGAGGGTCAAATTTTCAGAAGGTATATTAGATTGTAGATAAAACACTACCCAGAGATTTTGCTCTCATTTGGTGAGGACTTTTTTATCTAGGGTTCGAGGTTTCCCATAAGCATAAGCCCGTATAGGCACAGACCCCTATGGTTAATTACCCCTCTCGATAACGGGAGAGCGCTTTCGATTATTGCTAGTTATTAAAAATTGAATATTCGACATACAATAACAGTAAACTTAGGATTTAAATTAAAGAATTCACCACTTGAAGCTTAAATTGGATGGTAGATGAACGAAGACAAAACCCGATCAAAATTCATGATTCTGTCATCCCAAATTGTCATGATCTTTGAACTACTTCGTCAGATTAGGTAGTCGACCCAACCAGACAGAAGGATTCTAGGCAGCAGCTATAGATTGCATCCAGGAGAACAAATTTAAATCAACCTTAGCTAATAGAAGGTCTTATGCCAATCAATTGTACATTTAAGATTCACAACTCAAATTGTAGAAAATCATTGGGAACATATGGGTTGCGACCGTCACCGTAATATAAAGGTGTCATTCGGCGGCAACCACCAGATTAGAGGGGCTCTGGTCGTACCCACTATTTTGTGGTGTCATTTTGCGGTAGAACCACGCGGACAAAAGACACAGATCATGTCCTTACTAAAATGCAATTACTTTGATCGTGAATATATTGATACATTTGATATGACTTTTGTGCTCTGTGAGCTAAACTCAATCAGAAGTTTGTCATCCTTGACAAACTGTTGGAGTTAACAAGTCTAGTAATTTCAAAGGATCGGAGTGATTTGGACTTCAAAAATTTTATTTTAAGATTTGGATGTTTATTTTAAAATTACTAGACTTGTTGACTCCAACCCTTATGAGGAAGAGGATTGAAATAGTGAGGTGAGACTTACAACCTGTCATATAGACAAGGCAGCCTGTTTAGCACGCGTTGCATTCTCGAACATAATATTTGAGCATCTAATAAATTGATTAGAGCAGATGCAGGCTTTTAATTTATATATTTGAATAGCATAAATAATTAGGAGACTTTAAAGGCTTGTGTAACCCTTAAACCATAGTTATGATTTACAATTTTGAACAAGAGATTTTAAAATCACAAATCAGAATCTTATCTATATGAATCTCTTAAAACATACACAATTTAAGAGAGTACAAACTAAGTCTCAAAAGATTTTCATATATTCCAAATTATTACATTTGACTTAGGAATAACATGAAGCTTATATAGGCTTTATAGACCTTTAACCATATTGAAACTATATGTTTTAATTTGTAAATTATCAAATGCAATGTTGTAGCTTCAACCTTTTATTCACCGACAGACATGTTGCAAATCTGGTGGCGGCAACGATTGATTTCAGAACACTCCACACTTTTCGCCCACTAGAAGCCTAAGTCAAGAAAAACTCAATCTTTTAATTGA